GGCCGGCGAGGGCGAGCCTCGCCGGCACCGGCCTCTGGCCGGTCGCCAGTCCGACGATCGGCTGGAGGAGGGGAGGGAAAAAAAAAGAAAAGAAAAAAAAGAAAAAAATTAATAAAAATTCAAAAATATTAAAATATTATTAAAGTTGTCCACGTCAGCGCCGGTGATCGGTTGCCGGCCGGTCGGCGTCCATGTCAGCAAAATCCCGTTAAAATTGGCCGGAAGGACTGAATTGGCACAAAAACAAAAGATTTAGGACTGAATTGGCATCAATGCAAAAGGTTTAGGACTGAATTGGCACCAAAAAAAGTTTTAGGACTAAATTGACACAAATGCAAAAGGTTTAAGACTGAATTGGCACAAAAAAAAGGTTTTGGACTAAATTGGCACCAATACAAAAGGTTTAGGACTTTTTTGACACTTTTCCCGCCTATGAGAAACAAAAAAGATTGGAGGAGGGCATGGTTAGAAGCTCCTTAAAGAGAACAGAAGAAGTTAAATTCAAAATGAACGGAGACAAGGGTGCATTTGTTTTATGGAAAAGTAAGGATTTGGAAATTATTTTCTTAAAAATGATTATTTATATCGTTTAGAAAAATTAGTTAATGGAAATTTTTTTTCCTTATCAACAACAATTTATACCTCGACATTTTTGTTGATGAGGAAATTTCTTTTATTGATTAATTTTTCTAAACGACATAAAAATTCAATTTTAGAAAAAATATTTTCCAAGTTGCTTTTTCATGAAACAAATGCACCCAAAGATTGGGTAACATTTACCAACTTCATTTGTAAGTCGAGTGATGACACAAATCTAAAAGGCACGTCTGCTTCCATTAATTAAAAGTAAAATCACTTTTTGGCTTTTCTATTAAGATTTAAAATATCACGTAAATTTCAAACGAATTATGAAGTTACTATATGTTCATTTACTGTCAACTTTTATTTATTTTGAACGCTAGAGATGTTGTAGAAAAAAGTCAAAGTGTATAAGAAACAAAGTTTTAATTACGAATGTATTTGTTTTACTGAAAATTTCATAAAAAAAGGAAAATATTTTCCATGGAAATCATTTTCAGGAAAAATAATTAACTTTCATTTGTTGTGTAGTTTAAGAAAAGTGATTTGTTTCTTGCCAGATGAGAAAGTCGTTCTTCCTCAATCTAAGCTTGTCTTTTTTATCTATCAAAAATATTTTTTATAAATAGATTAGTTTTTCATAATCCAAACACTGAAAAGTCCCAAAACAATTTCCTTCAAATAAACATATCCTAATTAAAAACTGAAAAGTAAATGTTAATCCAAACATGATATTTTCACGTCTTGCGCCAACTTTATCGTCATATATCTAAATTCGAGATTTCAATATTTCAAAATCAATCACAATACACAAAACACACAAAAAAAAGTTCCGGCATACGATGCTAGAAGTAAGATGCAAAAGTTAAACCTGTTTAGAGCAAGAGAAGTGAATAGTGTCTCTTATATGATACGAATTAAGCAGTACAACCCTTTCTTTTTGTTTTAATTTAAAGAAAGTGCACAGAGACCTAGACTGACAAGCTCCTCCATTAGTGTGTGCTTTTGATGTTAAAAACAATGTCCGGAAAAAACATTCCCAAGTCTTTTCAAGCAACATATATAGTCAATATTCAACGAGGATGCAACAATCATCACAACAGAATTATCATCATATTAACTTTAAATGGCAATCAATGGGCGATTGTCCTCAACGATGGTGCGGGAAAAGTGGACAGGCCTTTTTCCGGAGTTGAACTTTGCGACATGAAGAGTAAAATACATAAAAAAAATAAAGAAAGACAGAACTTGATTGGAAGGGACTAGTAGTGTGCGTAGGTAAAAAAGTCTAACCTATGTTTTAGCTAATGGTAGGCAAGCGAAAATTGGAAAAAACACACCATGCGAGGACAAAGCTATGATAAAGGATCTCTGCCTTCTGTTATCACTGACAACTTCGTATCTCTGTGGGTTTATGTGTGTGTCTGAGCGAGAGAGAGCGAGAGAGGTCTGATAAAAGATTAGTCATGTATGGCGTTGGAAGGAGATGATGGTGATCTGCTTCTTGATGTTTTTGTCATTTTTGTGGCGCTTAGCATCGTGGCGGTATCATCAGTAGGACCATGAGTAAAGTTTGAATATAGCTTCAAAACCTGACTTTTTTTTGAATTTCTTGTCCGCAAGAGTTACAGTGATAAGTTCATTGTCTGCTCATCTCCAGATCATTCGTGCACGGCTTTGCTGAATGCAAGAAAGAAGAAGAGAATTAGAGGATAATAGTAAATTGAATGTCAAGTTGGATGATGTGATGTACAATGAGTAAAATACGTGAAGCGGTTCCTTAGCAAGTAGTAACCTAATGTGAGTTATCCCTCTTTTTGCGTCTTACTTTAATGAAGGTTATAAGAGGGCAAGAGTGTTAGGAAGTTAAAGGGACTAAATGTGTAATTAACCGCCAAGTTTAAAGAGCAAAAAATATTGACCCAGCTAGCATAATCAGGAGGAACAGTGGGTTAGTTTATGTCCTAAGATTTTGGACACACCATACTGTCAAATGCCTGAAATATCTAAATGGATTGAGATCCTCTCCATTTGGAGTAAATTGATATTTTCTATTGATTTAGTCTCTTCAAAATGGAAGACACGTTGACACGGTAGTAAATAAACGGTCAGGATTAGTTTCCTAAATTCCCTTTTGTATGCTCTCCCGCATCTTCTTCCTCTAATGGTCGCGTCTGCAATGTCCCCACCATGGCCGCACCTCCCTCACCGCCTCCGCCACCGTGCTGTGGCCTCCTGCGGTGACCTCAGCCCTAGTTATCATAAGCAATGGTGGTGGTTAGCGATGATGTCCTATAATCCTATGTGAGGTCAAATGAGGTTAACAACTACTGACATGGGTTAACCTAATGCAAGTTATCCCTCTTATTGATGCACCTTCTTATGTTCGAGTGACATTTAAGCTCTAATTAGTCTAATTCAAGAGCAATGCAAATAACTTCGCAGATAAAGTCTCTACACCGAAAATTGGCAACTAGGGGATAATGGGATTTCAAGACCTGACCTCTTCCTACTTGTTACACAAGTGTACTTCTTAAGGACTATAAACCAATTTCATAAGAAACTTAATCCAATATGCCCTAAACCAATTGCAATTTTAAGAAGTCAATAGTTCGTCGTTGCACGTTTGCAATGTGGATGTTTATTTCATATTATAACTAGAAGTTCCTTTTCATTTTCTCATTAATTTCGCTGGTTTTTGTTGAATGAGATCACGGTTTCCACACTCCAATTTGTATATGTAGCTCGTTTTGTTGTTGACATGCATTTTAACTTTCTGGACAGGGATTAGGGCTTAGGTACTCAATGGTACTATATACAAACGAGTTGTTAAATCGTTGTCCACATTTATACATCTATATTCACACATCAAGTACGTGCATAATTATTGTCATACGCAAGGAATGTTGGCCAAATGGAATATACAAATGTTTACCACATGCCATTATACTGTTCAGCAATTTAGGAAATGCTTCTCCCAAATTTTGTAACTTTTTGGAAGAGACCAATCTTGCTCATCCAGAATCCCGGCAAACTAGTAATTAATGGGGTGGAGATGAAGCAAGAAAAGAAAAAGACATCTTTTGGGCATTGGTACAAAAATTCACAGAACTTCAAAAGCTTCAGCGTCTAGAGAGAACCATGCTAGACTAAAACGATGAAAAGACTCATGAAACTCTAGAGTGAGTACAGAAATGTGTCTAAATGGGATTGGATCTTTGATCAGCTATACATTAGATTAGTGTAGGGAAGAGAGAGAGAGAGAGAGAGAGAGAGAGAGAGAGAGTATTGCAGAGGGGCATAGCTAGGTACCTTCGTCGTATAGTGCTTTCGCACTTAAGCAGAGAGAGAGAGATAACAAAGATTTGATTGTGGGGACAATGGAATTGTAGAAAACCGAGAAGAGAGAGAGAGAGGCTTCGCAGTTGATCACAGACACGCGCAAATACACAGAGAGGGTCTTAAGTTTGAAAACAACAGGTGAATGACCACCAAAGCTAATCGCTCCATGCACACGTCCCTTTCTCTCTTCCTCTCCCCCACCTCTGCCGCCTCTGGAAGCTCTCTCTCTCTCTCTCCCTGCCTCATCCTTTGGGATTGTCAACCATTCATTTTCCCTCTCTCCTTTAACCTCAGCCGTTTATTTTCAACTCTCTCTCTCTCGCTTTCTCTCTCACTCTACCTCCCCCAGCTGTGTGTCCTGTTAATGTTGCAGCAACAGCTTGTACAAATCCCAGATCTTCCAAATCTTCAATGAACAAATAAAACTAACAATAAGAAAAACGTTAAAAGACTCTGTAACTCAATAGTTTAAACTGTTAGATACAAAAAATATTTGTATCTCGTTATGGTGCAATGTGCGATAAATTATTTTAGTTACCCACATAGAAAGAGGATACATATATCGAAGACCACTATTTGGCATTGATGTGGTAGACACAACCAATCAAAGTGGTAAAAAATTCATAGAACTTGATGTTCTTGCCAATGAGGTTCATCTTAAATCTCTAATTTTCCCTGACCTATATGTAGGTTAATCTATATCAGAATGAGCTTCGATGATACTTTTCCATGTTCAAGTCTTTTTTTTCTTTCTTGGTCAGATTTCCACTCTTACTTGAAAAGGATAAGAGGAAAAGGCCTTTCTCGGTCTTCTTTCTCTATACTATATTAGTGGAAATAAACTCTCTCTCTCCCTCCCTCCCTCCCGCTATCTCCCCCCCCCTTTCTCTCTCTCTCTCTCTCTCTCTCTCTCTCTCTCTCTCTCTTATTTTGTCTCCTCACTCTCTGCTCTTCCTCTCCTATGTATAGCAAAAGCAACTAAACAATCAAACCCAAATCCAAGGTGGTTAAGCTGTCTTTCACACTCCATTCGGCCATATCACCTGTCAATCCATCCATCCATCAAATCAAACCCAAGAATGAACACGATGTCCTCTTCCTCCTCCTCCTCCTCATCATCCGGTTTCGCGCCAGACCACCACCACCACCTCTCATCCCCCACCGAGCAGCTCTGTTATGTCCATTGCAACTATTGTGACACCGTCCTCGCTGTATATACTCTCTCTTGCTCTCTCTGCATGATACCAGAATGACTTTGTTTTTGTTCTGGTGGTTTAATTTGGGGCTTGTATTTGTGCACACAAATGCACACACAGGTAAGTGTTCCTTGTACCAGCTTGTTCAAGATGGTGACGGTCCGATGCGGTCACTGCACCAATCTTTTGTCCGTCAACATGTGTGGGTTGCTTCTTCCCTCGGCCAACCAGCTTCAACTTGGCCACAATTTCTTCACTCCTCAAAACCTTCTGGTAATTGTGAATTATAAACTGTTCCACCTTTGCGTCCGAGCAACAAAAATCAAGAAAAGGAAACTACCGGGTTCCACTTCTCACATTACACCATTTTGTGATCTTTTACGAATTACAATTCATAAATTGGGTTCCCTTCTATAGATATACATTAACCAAAAAAAAAGTTTTTGGTTTTGTCGTAAGAAATAGTATAAGAAGATTGCATTTTTTGGAGGGTTCTCCAGGAAATACACATTGGTACTTCTTTGAAGCAGTATTACTAATAAGTATCTTGGGTAAGATAAAATTATTATTGCTTTTTTCCTTAATTATGCTAAAACCTTTAGCTCTATGTGTTGGCTAATTATGGGGGTGGGACGTTATAGGAGGAGATCCGGAACGCCCCACCAAGTTTGCTGATAAATCAGCCGTCGCCGGCCGACTCCATAATGCAGCTACGAGGAGGAGCTGAGCAGATCCCTAAGCCTCCAGTAGTTAACAGACGTATGAACGTTCTCTTTCTCTCTATTTAAAAATTTCCTTCTTTATTTTTCTGTTTTCTATACCCATCTTTCAATTAGGTTGATCCATGTTTCATGGTGTGAGCCGACACTTAACAAGTTCTAAGTGGCTACTCTCTCTCTCTCTCTCTCTCTCTCTCTCTCTCTCTCTCTCTCTCTTTCTGTGGGTCTGTGTATGCAATATATACCTAAGAAAGAGTTGCAGTTCATCTGTAAGAGAGAGATTATTTTTGTGATCTTCATTATTTTGAAAAGCTTAGTAGTCCTCAACAAGATCTAAATCCTCTTTTTCGTTTTGAGCTTGCATCACATGTAAGAAAAAGAACTTCATAGCCCATCGGATAGCCGCCTCCTCCTATATTCTATATAATGACTAGCCAAGAAAGCCTACATTTTGTTTCTCTTTTTTTTTTCGCAATCCTCACTGAATTGATCAAAGATTGCATGGTCTCAATCGTTTCTAGAAGAAAGAAGCCATGTCAGATCATCTTTCGCTTTGACTCTGAAAAGGGTTTTCATCTTCGTCTCCAAGATTGTCAAAAAAGTTTGAGAGAGAGAGAGAGAGAGAGAGAGAGAGGTGTTGCCTTCTTTCAGGATGTCATGATGAGACTATGATAAGAGAGAGAGAGAGAGAGAGAAGAAGAAGAAGAAGTGGAGTAGAGTTGCCATCTCTTGGAAGTCATGATGAGACTATGATGAGAGAGAGAGAGAGAGGTGTTGCCTTCTTTCAGGAGGTCATGATGAGACTATGATAAGAGAGAGAGAGAGAGAGAGAGAGAGAGAGAGAGAGAAGAAGAAGTGGAGTAGAGTTGCCATCTCTTGGAAGTCATGATGAGACTATGATGAGAGAGAGAGAGAGAGAGAGAGAGAGAGAGAGAGAGAGAGAGAGAGAGAGAGAGAGAGAGAGAGAACAGATATTAATGTGTCTTTGATTTGTCTGTATGTCTGTTTGGTTGCTCATGTCCAGCTCCGGAGAAGAGACAGAGAGTCCCTTCTGCTTACAACCGCTTCATCAAGTAAGTCAATACATTTTATTTTAAGCACATATATGATGATTTTTTGCATCATCCCTTTTACTACTGGCAAATATTTCTGCTTTACTAATATTTGTAAGCTCTAAGGAAAAAAAATAGCGATGAATTTATGGCTATAAAAGTATGCCTTATTGCAAGCTTAAGAATATCTATGGTGATAAGCATCTCTCGATGATACAATTATCACCCTCATCATTGTTAACCAAGTGACAAGTACATGTACACTACTTAGAATTAAAGTGGCTAACCTATCTTCCCATCAATGCATACAAGTGGTTCGATTAGGCTAGCTTGCTGATGAAATTTAATCTCTTATTCTTTTTTTTGTTTTTCCCTTCTCTGGCTGATATCATATAGATTTTAAAGAGATAATTAAGCATGTTTGTTGATTGATAAGAGGCATTTGGTATTTAGTAATTTAGACAAGAAACATTCGGTACACGTTTGGTTCCTAGCACTTCGGGAGGTGCTCAGCTGTTAAAACAGTACATAGTAGATGTGGTTTTGGTTTAAGTTTTGATGGAACATGCTAATGGTTATCCTACATTTGCACAATTATGAAATTTTAAGGATGATAAATGTCAGGGTAGAGTTTAAAAGACCGAAAGCAAACACTCGAACATATTTAAACTCATAATTGTATTTAACCCTTAGGTAACATATGAAGTTATGAACATTTTATTTATCGAGTGGTAAGAGCTAATTTTGTGGAAAATATATAAGTCATTTTTCTTTTTTTCTAATTCTTTAGTTATGAAACCCACCAAGTTTCTAATGAAAATACCTAGTCAAGAATTTGTCTTGCATGTTCTTGTGGTTTGTCACCTCATACAGAAAGAAAATGGTCGTGGAGAGTTTCCTAATGGAGAAATCGTATGTGTTACCTACTTAGGGTGTGTTTGTTTAAGGGAAAGTGTTTTCTGGGAATTCGTTTTCCTGACTTTCACCCGTTTGGTTCGTCGAAATTGATTAGTCAACTAAAAACACTTTCCGGTTAAAGAAAACATTCATATATAAAATTAGGAAAGTGAATTCCCTCATTTAAGAAGGTGAAAACACTTTCCGAAATTGCTTCCCTTGACTTTTTTAATGTTTTATTCTTTTCTTTCTTTTCTTTATTTTTTTCGTTTTCTTTTTTATTTTTAAAAATAAAATATTAAAAAATTCGAAATTATTTTTTTGCCTAAGATAAAATCATGGGATTGAAATCATTTTCCAAATCAGATCCAAACACCAGAAAATGTCTTCGATCACATATCACCAAACAAAGGAAAACTAACTATTTTCCTAGAAAATGATTTTTCGGAAAATATTTTCTAAAAACGTTACATTTTCCGTGAAACAAACGCACTCTTAGTATTACTATCATCTGTCTAATTTTGAACTTATAAGCGCTGAAAAATTGCTCAATTATTAGGTTAAAGCTACTAATCAAACTAGTAGGCGCCTCAATCTCCTCAAGAACGAAGCCTTATTTGCAGTTGATAGTGGACTGTGTTTTAGTGCACTTTCAGACATCGCTTTTGTCATTTGGTGTTGGTTTTATGGTGTGTCTTATTACTCGCACAAGTTAAAAGCCAAACAAGAAAAAAAAAGCATGTATCACGTCGATGTGCAGCGACAAGTAAAGTGTTCAAAGACTGCTTAATTGTCTCCATCCCTCCAAGACCACTGGACCGTTTTTTTGGAGCTGATGCTAAATGATTGATGAAAAATTCTTTTTTCCCTTTTCCATTATGTCGGGTTTATTCCCGTGTCAATGCATGTGTTTGTGTGTTGATATCGCAAGTCCGATGATGACATTCTCCGGAATTGCAGGGAAGAGATCCAACGCATCAAAGCAGGAAATCCAGATATAAGCCACAGGGAAGCTTTTAGTGCTGCTGCAAAGAACGTAAGTGTCCAAACTCCATCAAAAAGAAATTAACGTCGACTATCTTACAACAATCTTTCTTTGGTTTTTTCTTTTCCTCTCTATTGAAAAGTCGCTCTCTGGTCTCCTCTCCCCCCACTTGTTTGTTGGGTTCATTCGTTTATCTGTATACTCTCCACTGAAACGTTCAACTTGTGACTGTTTCATTAGAAAAAAAGTTTTCGATTCTGATAATCGTACGTTCGTGTTCTTTTCTCCCTTTTTGCAGTGGGCCCACTTCCCCCACATCCATTTCGGACTCATGCCTGACCAGCCCGTGAAGAAACCTAATATCTGCCAGCAGGTAACATACTTCGAAACCCTAAAATCATTTCTACTGTTGATTAGCTATTAATCATTCTATTAATAGAGATTTAAAGCGGACACATTGTTAGATGACATATAACATCGAATGTGAGAGCACCCTTTTCCTTTCTAGTAAGCAAAATGAAAATCAAGGCGAAGAAAAGAAAAAGAGAAGAAGCCAAATTCCTAAGTATCATTTCCGCGTTGATGAAGCATGTTAAAAGAACAATAATTTTGATGTTTTTGAAGTATTATGGATTAGGGGATTTCTGTATCATGGTCGATATAACATATGAAATGATATTAGAAATCTGACATGCCTTAAATTTATATGGGTTTGGGAATGTTGTAGGAAGGCGAGGACGTGCTGAGAAAAGATGGGCTCTTTGCAACTGCGAACTTGGGAGTGTCGCCTTACTGAGAAAATCTACGTTGGGTGTCTGTTTAAATTTCTGAAACTGTTCTCCTTTTCCCCCTCTTTTTAGGGTTCTTCGTTTGTGGAGGACTCTCGACTGTTCACCTGTTTAGGGGTTGCTTGAATTCGTGTTTGTCATGGCCCGACAGGGTACATTCCGACATCTGCTAAAACAATGTTTGCGGACTCGACTTAACAACTAATTTCAGGAGACTGAGACATACTCTCTCCTTAATTTGTGTTCACAATTCTAATAGATAACACCTGCTATAAGACATGACTATATGTTACTAAAGTGATAATGTAAACATCCTTATTTTCTGCAAATCTTTCGCATGATGTAAATTTGAACTAAATCTAAATCATCCTGCAACAATACAATCTCTTTTCTTAAATGACTCAAATGGAAACTTCTCCTTCTGAGTTTCTTCTAATTATTTTCTCACTTAAATCTAGATCATACTATTTTGCTACTAATGATTAAAGATAAGGCTTATATGATCCTTTTTTTTTTCTTGTGGTCCATTTGCATTGATCATTCATATATATTAGAAAAACCACATATTGATTATTCACGGATGATACGGCGAGAGGATATATCGCATGGAATGATGAAATTATGGCTATACAAATATTGATAATTTAATAAATACATAAATAGTACAGATACATGAGCTTAAGCCAGAAGGTATGTAACAACTCAACAGCAGCAAAAGTACAGCGCACTAGGACCCATCAGTAATAGAAGAACATAAGGCCCAACACGGACATCACAGGAGCCCAAATTTAGAGGATTGGAAAAGTTCAATGCATGGCGCAGTGGCGGCTGCCGATGTTGGCTGGAGCTCCGATGAGCAGCAAGGTGCGACAAATGAAGATGATGAAGCTTAGGCTAGGATTTCTGTAACAGGATGCGCAGGCAGTTACCATGATCTGTTATATGGAGATGATAAAGGACAGTGGACCTCATTGAACTTCGGTAGAGGAGAGGCGTGAAGGCGGCAGCAAGTAAACAAAAGCGATACGGTTTTTTAGATAGACATTTGACCAAAGGGTTAGGATTTGTAGCATACAAACTGATGATAATTTTCTCTACGAGTAGACGCAATACAATGACGAACATGAGATAAAATTTTGAGCAGCCTTATGTAGATCTTGTACTTACTACACTTCAACTGCACCGGCGGCTTCCTTCTCAGGTGACTTCAAATTGCTCTCACAATTAATTGTGAATGGAAATTAATGATCATAATAACAAAGAGCATGAATTTGGATAATATGCCAGCAGAAGCTAGATGAATAAGAGAAAGATTAATACCACAACAAACTCCATACTATATTTACCGTGACACAAATATCTTGAACTTTTTTTGTGTCACTAAAAACTCTAAACGTGTCCATTGTGACACAAATACCTCAATTTTTTCTTTGTGTCATAAATAACCAATGTGAAAAATATATCCTAGATGGAATTAATTTAGAGGGTATATGTTACACATGTATAAGTTTGGATTTTTCCGTGACACAAAAAAAAAGTTGGAGGTATCTGTGTCACAGTAGATAAGTTTATGGTTTCTGGTGACACAAGAAAAAGTTTGGGATATTTGTGTTATAGTGAGCATAGTTTGGAGTTTTTGTGGCATCTGCCAATAAGATATTAACAGTTATCTTTGTAGTCGAGGATGTGGGGAATTTTAAGAATGTGCTTATTTATAATTATGTCCTAATTGTTTTATTTCCACGCTTTTCTACCGTTTCTTAATAGTTTAAACTTTACAGGAACATAATTTGTTTAACAAGGTTGCAATGCACGGTTCAAGGGTTTGAATCTTAACACACATTCTCTCTCAATTTTCTCCTATTTATTATCCCTATTATTCTTCCTGCTTTCTTGTTCCAACCGAAATCCTGTTGACGTGGTTCCATCCACATCCCGACTTGCGTATGTAAGATCGAATTACATGCGGGGAGACTGTCAAGTAATATGTTATAAGTACACTGGCGGTCTGTTTTCTAAAAACTTAAGCTTTTAAAAAAGAAATCTTTAAACTAGCATATTCCATATAGGGTTGATTGGGGAAGTTGTTGACACCTAAATTTTAACTAGTCATTTAGGAACAATTGCATAGAAAATTAGGTATCGACCCCGACCCCTAAACAAAAAATATTAGTTAAATTACATATAGATATTATGAGCATTTCATTAATAGTTAATTAGGCCCATATAGTTTGCATATCTACCGGACCGACGGCGAATGGATTCGAGCAAATGGTTCAGAGCTTAAATGAAATTAATTGAACCAAGCCCATGACCAAAATTCAAATGTTTTGCACGTGTGATACTTCAAGCGAAGATTTTCGGTCTCAAAGCAATATCTCGTACATATATTTTCGGCCAAATAGAAGATCAGGAGGGAAGGAAATTTGATATATTTGATTGTATTCTCTTCTATAAGACAGGACACTTCGCAAAGTGATTGGGGCCATATATCGCGAGCATATCTGCAGTGGGGGTGATAAAAGCTTATTTTGAGTCATAAATTTGACTACTCTTAGATGTTTCCCTGAATTCAAAGCAATGTTATATTCATCTTCATTAAAATAAGCAATAAAATATTGCAGGAAAGTGGAGGATAAAAGGATTGTGCACGAAAAGGGAGGAAAGAATAAAACAGAGATTCTAAAAGTGCACACAATAGAAAATAAAATCTGGCCTCTTTCCTAGATAACCTTCGTCCCCTCACCTATAAAAAGCGGTTCGTAGACAGAAGCTGGGGGGCCTCTTTCTTCTCTCTTTCGTTCAATAGCGTTATTCATATTAATATATAGTGGAGAGAGAATTGAGAGCACAAGAAAGGAGGAAGAAAATACGAAGAGCAATCCACGAGTCCATCTCTCGGTCATGCCGTTTATCACCAATCACAGAGCTGGTTTTCACGACTACCAGCAATCGTCGCCGTCCTTCCTCAGAGTCCGGCGACGGATCAGTCTCGCTACATCTTCCTCTGTGTTCTGACGAAAACCCGACGTCCATAGGCCTATCTCGGCGTCCTCGAAGTGCATCCTGCGGCTTGTTCCGATTGGTCCAACTTGGCACCAGTCCATGACAATTCCCTGTTTGGCGAAGTTCTCTGTGTTTGCAGGTTAATAGAAGCCTTTCTGAGCTGCTCTGTTCCCCGCATTGTGAGCACTGCGAAAACTGACGCTGCAGCCCATGTAGCCCCTGCTGCCGTAGCTCACGTCGCGTTCTTCCTCGGTCTGATGCTCTCATAGCCTCAAAGCGAAGCCACGACGTTCCCTGCAGCGAGTCCCATGGCCTCGTCGTCATCACATGCAGAAGACGCCACCTTTTGATTTCTTTTGAGGTATAGTGGTGGTCAAAGTAGATTGCCTGGTCAAAGTATCAAGTCTTCAGTAGAAGGTCGGACAAATAGACCCACGAAGGGATTTGCAAACTGACTTGGTGGCTCAACCGTGATCCCCAAGCTCAAAGGCCGTCGTCCTAACTGTCACAGTGATCGTTCATTGCCATTCTTCGATCCTCCACTGTCCAGTACTGCGAGCCACCGTCCACCGGTCCAAACTTGAAAGGCAAATATTCGAATTAGGTAAAAAGCTCATCTAATTTGACTTTCGAGTATACTATTTCCTTGTTTGAAATATTGCAATCTTATGCAAATTTTTGAGTAATATTATCATATTCAATAAGTTCCCGAATAGCCTTTAAATTATGAATTATTTCCTAATTTTGTAACGTGCTATGGTCGACAGTTTGATTTCATGCTCGAAATATGACTCGCGATCGCACGGAAAATTGTTAATCCGATCTCCCACCCGAGATATGATTCGCGATTGTACGAAAGATTGGCCAATCCAACCCTCATGCCCGAGATATGATTCATCAATCTATCGTTTCTAAATTTAATGGCATATGGATAATATTTCTTTTGATTGGGTGTCGTGTTCATTGCTATTTCTTTTCGTCTTTTGTTTGAATTGAATTGATTGTCTTTCCATAAAAAAAAATACAAAAAGATTAGGTAAAATTTGAGTAGATAATATATTGCATGTTTAGGATAAATTTTGATTATTTTCTTAGATTTTATTATTGCATGTTTAAATTAGGTTAATTATTTATTTCGAATTTAAATTAAAAAATATAAAAAATACCACGTGCATGTCATATTAGAGTAGTTGCATTTCAATTAATTCTCGTCATTAGAAATCTCACTTCTAGGTTCATTTGAGTACCATATAAGATAGTGCATTTGAATTAGGACATTTAAATAAATCGCATGTCGCATGTCATACTAGACGTAGAATGTATTGCATAAAGTTTAGTTTTCGTTAAATCAGAGAAAACCCTAAAAAAAGATTTGAGTGAATTTGTGTGTTAATTAGAAATCATATTAGGATTGTCAATGTGATTTTCTAACTAGCATTGCAGATGCTTTCGTTGTTTTGAGGTAAGTCCCTATCTTGCAATTTATTTATTGCTTTGCATTATTGAGTGTTATATTATTGGTTGCACACCCGCATGATCACCTCGCATGTTAGTGGATAGGTTTAAAATCAATCCAAGCTGCCTGCAAATATTTTTTTGAAATAAAAGAGAAAAGGTACCGAAAGGGCGTTAGAGTAATCTAGTGTAACCAAGTCCTCGAATCCATAATCTCTGGTTTGTAGGAATAAAGTAATTCTCATGATACTTTACTTGGATTTTTAATCGACCCACCAAAAAATAGATTAGTGGCAACTCCTGATTGAAATAATTTGTATGTTAAGAACTTAATCCTTAAGTTGCGAGTTGGTAAGGGCTTGGGAGAGCTCGAGTTAAGCCTAGACTTAATAATCCATCAGTCGAACCCCTAGGTGGCGCACCATGAAGGTAGGTCATGATAAAAGTTTAAAAGCGAAGATAAAAATATATTTTGGTTTAACAATATCGGTATTGTTTCTAAACTTTTATAGGGAGAATTTGCAGAGAGACACGTATGACAAAAGAATGTGATAATTTAAAAACTATATCTACATTTTTTCTTACCCAAGTATGAGAAGACTTCGTAAATCTAGGAAAACAGGAACTTACATGCATGAGGAACATTTGTGGGTCCTAACAATAGTCTAAAGTATTATAGCAGAGAATATCTCCTCCTCAAATGCATGGGCCCTAGGAAAAATGTCAAAAGATTAGACTATCACCGGCTTCCATGGAGCGACCTAAGTCCTTTAAGTCAATTGGAAGAAAATTTCATGGTATCGGACATTGTGTATCGGTAGATAGACATCAACCTTCATATAATAAGATCAATCTTGTAGCTAGTTAGACTAGGCTTCTTTCAAGAATATTTACTTATCCACAGATAGTGTATTAACCAAATAATACAAGAGATCACGAATTCAAGTCATATTGATCACGAACAAATCACTGGCTAGCTTGTACCTTGGCATTTGCTACCTCTTATAAAGAGACTTTTTGATCTTCTGATGTATCATTAGAGCTGCGGTCACGGGATTCTATATATTCTAGTGGATTGAGTAGTTATGACTCAAATCGAACATTTCGTAACTGATGCGAGATTCTTATTGAAACCACTAGAAAAGTTTGATAATCACGTCGATCCTCAGTCCCTCATCATCTTGCAAATGAAAAAGACATGCATATGTAATCACCTATACATGTTAAGGGTATCACCGCCCATTGCCACACAATAGTTTTCCCTCGCAATGCTTCTCCTTTCTCCTCTTCCTCTTCCTGCTTATCAAAGTAATTCCAACAAAAATGCAAGCAAAATCTGACACTCGAAGCATCTCCCACCGGCCACCAGGTTCCCAAAGTTGCCATTCATTGGGAATTTGCACCATCTCATTGTCTCACTACCTCACCTTCGCTTGAGAGACCTGGCCATAACATATATATGGACCCATCTTCCATCTCCTGCTGGGAGAGCTCTCAGTCTTGATGATATCAGCGAAATTACCAAAACAATCCTAAATATAATGTGCTTGTGTCATTCAGTTTTAAATCTTTCAATTTGACCATTTTTTTTTAGTGTAAGTATTAGTTATTAGATGAATTACAAAAGTTTAGGGGCATCCTTCAGCATTACAAATAGAGCTAATAATGTGAGAAGATGGAGATAAGAAGTCTCCACATATTATTAGTCTTAAACCATTCGATAATTTACTAATTTAATCCTTTTGACTATTTTGACCAGAAATTACTGACGTGAATACGGACCGTCTTATGTGGCAACTAAAAACCATTTAAAGGGATGTGCAAAAAAAATTTGAAATCGCTAACGCGAATTTGCTTTTGGTCACTTTTTCTTCTTGCCCTACCTATTAAGGAAACTCAAAGTAACTTTTGAAGGGATGTGCAAAAAAGCTTTTTTAATTTTTTTTTTAAGGCAACAAGCCTAGGTAGGGCACCTTTGTTGACATGATATTGTCCGCTTTGGTCCCAATTGACCCGTGCTTGTATGGAGCTTTTGAAAAGCATCATGCTAGCTTAAGGATGTCTAACATCTCGTCCTGGCTCAAACATTACTAAAGATTGGCTATCTCACCGGAGCCTCATCGAAAGCACGATGTCCTTCACTTCAAGCAACATTCAGTCACATTTGCATGGTGTAAAAACGTGTTGCGATAATTTGAAACTGGTGAGACTTATCTACTAGTATGACCAAGCTGCATGAGCAATGTGGAATTGATACCTCTAGCGCTCTCGCCACCAAAGTTGTGATACCGGGGTAGGCAAACTGAGTTACTGGGCACGCGGCCCGGTGATAAAAGAAATTGGGAGTGTAAACACTAGTATCATAAATGCGGGATTCGACCTCCGTAATCTACAAAGAAGCATAGCCAAAGCTCGACGGAGAGAGAGCGGAGAGTTGAAGATAGGTCACACCAAAATTAAAAAGTCTAAGTTGACCAGGCCAGTCATCCTGGGGTCAAAAGAATGAATCTACTGATTGTGATATCCTCACCGCCCCTCATTCTTATCTCCGTCACCGCCGCTTCGTAGCCGTGCGATTCAGCTAAATCTCGACCCGTTGACCATGCAAGCCTTCTCTCGTCAACCCATCCAATCCCCCGCCAGTCTTCGGCTTATTTCGCTCTATGAACATCTCCATGGTTGACGATCCTGTTTCCACTTTCAGCAGCCGAACTTGGATTGTGAAATCTTGACCAAAAAAAAAAAAAAAAAACTTGGATTGTGAAATTCGATGTTCGGTGAAGAACCCTAAATCCCAAATTCCTGAAAAAAGAAAACACGGGTTCTTTCTCAGTGGTCCTTTCGTTGTTGTAGAAGCATCAAAGACAGAATTTTGCTGGAAGACGATGGTCATTGGGAATCTTCTTGACGTTCATCCCACAGAACTGAAATTCACATGTAAGTTGCAGTGCTGGGGTCTTTCGGGAAAAAGTATTCCGGAGCAGAGCATGTGATAGGTGTAGTCTTATGTAGTTTTGATTGGTGTTTCACCGTCCAGGATCATGTTTGTTTTTTTGTTTTGTTTTCGATTGGTAATCATGGGTTGTTTTTTTTTTTTTCTCTTTTTGCTGATATGGGTTTTGTGGGCGTGTGGTGTTGAAGTTGAATTGAGGAGGCAGGCTTCGTGCTCTATGCAACTCAGTAATAAGACGGATAAATTCGTGGCTTTCAAGGTGGGGACTTTGTTTTCCTTTGTTCTTAATTCTGATGGCTTGAATTGTGGGGTTGGGATTTTTAAATCTGACAAGATTTGTTGAATGGGTACCTAGGTGAAAACGACCAATCCGAAGAGGTACTGCGTTCGTCCGAACTCCGGTGTTGTCCCACCCGGAGCGACATGTGGTTTCACTGGTAATTTTAGTTTGCCTTCAGTGAAATATTGAATCCCCAAATATCATCGTATATCGACGGGTTTGCATTCAAGCCATCCTATTGCTTGTATGAATTTGCAACCACATTCTTAAGTGTTTAGGTTTTGTTGTAAGCGAATAATGTTCTCTGTTTCGTGTTGAGTAATGGGTAGGCATGGTTTGCCCTTTCTTCTATGTTTCCACATTACGTTTATTATGCTGGACTGTATTTGGTAGTCACAATGCAGGCCCCAAAAGAGGCACCTCCTGATTTGCAATGCAGGGATAAATTCCTTATTCAGAGTATTGTTGCCCCATATGGTGCAACTATGAAAGAGATAACATCAGAAATGGTGGGTCAATCTGGATCTTCGGAGTATCTTATGATAGTTCCTTGTGTTTCCTCTACCACCCTCAATATGAATGACTTTGAACGGGTGATTGTAGTTCAATAAGGAGTATGGGAAGACTTTGGAGGAATTCAAATTGCGGGTTGTCTATATTCCTGCAAATCCTCCCTCTCCTATCCCTGAAGAATCTGAAGAAGGATCTTCTCCAACAGCATCTCCTCTCGTGGATGGAAACAAGACCACCTCATTATTTGATGTCGTGATTTTTTGCTTGTTCTCTGTCATCTTGTCCTTTAATATTAACCTTTTGCTTCAAGTGCCTCATGATTTGTAAAATTCTAGGTAACAAGATCTTTGGAAACACGTAAGAAGTCTTTAGAGGTGAACTTCCTACTCTTTATCCTTGTTTGACTTTGATTGTGTCCTTGAAGATGAGGTTTTTATTTGACACCTTGAAGAGGTTTCAGATTATGATATTCTACTGCACTAGTTACTTATTTTGTCATCGTGAATCAGTTTTGCTCCATCCTAACTTGTTTGAATTACGGTAACAGCAAGGTGTTATGCAGATGCTGTTACTTGTATTTTTGTTTCGTTAGGATTAAAAAAGTGAAACCAGTTGCTGAAGCTGACACGTAGTATGCTTAAAATAACTTATTTGGGGAAGAAGTTCCTTGAATGTTTTGTCTTGAAAGTTCTCTGGTGGGTGGTTCCGCATGTGAGAACAACCTCCTTTTCTCTTTTCTTCTGCTGATGAAAGTAAATATGTCAGCAAACAGAAATGACTGATTGTCCATTTATCAAATGGATCTTTGGTCGAGGGACATGAATGAAGTGAAATCAAATGCTGACATAAACCGTGTTTGGAAAAAAGTCGAATAAGAAAATAAATGGGGGAAACAAAGTAAGAGTAAGGAAAGTGGAGGTGGAGACAAAATGAGGTTATTTTGGTTGTGTGGAAAGGAGGGAGAGTGAAATCCGGAGAAATCTGATGTTTTTCATCTTGCCACAATGACCTTCACATATGATTTTACTTTTTTGAAGGAGAACAGTAACTTCAATTAATATCTGCCAACTTTCTCTCCTTAAATTATGGGGAAGGATTAAGGGGCTGAAGAGAAAAACACTTCTCACACTTTCTACTTTATCTCCTCTTTTCCAAACAATGGAAAATGTCAGTATTCCCCCCTTTCTTTCCTTCACTGTATTTGCTCCACCATCATGCTCTCTTCCCTACTTTTGAGATTCCGGTGCTATGGGCTTGACATGCACTCACGCTTTGAGGAAAAAGTATGCTGCCATAGAGATGATACTTTGAGGAGTTTCGGTTCACTTCTTAATAGGGACATACAACAGTATTTACAGACTTTAGAGTTTTTATACTGACAGTATTCAAAAGAAGGGAAAAGAAGAAGAAGAGCTAGTTGACTAATTAAGCCATTCCATACGGTTCTCTTAAGTCCCTCTAATGTTTGATCATTAGTTAAGTTTAGGTTGGTTAGGTTTTTGATCTGTAGGAGACAGAGCTTCTGAATGATGTTTGTATCTTGATAACTGCTTCGCTATAGTATTAGTAGTTAAACCCCACACTTATTAGCAGAGTGCAATTCTTTTGTCTTTTAAATCAGTATAGTCATAATTACAGAAAATGCACCATATTCTTGGGTGATTATTATAGTTAGCTTTACACGTGATGACCATATTCTTCATATTTATTGTTCTGTATATGGTTCTTTTGGTAACTTGCTAATGTTAACTTTTATTCAGCAGACATGGTCTATTATTTCAAAGCTGACTGAGGAGAGAACTTTAGCCTTGCAACAGAGGCAGAAGTTATCTCAGGAACTGGTAGGTCGATAGCATCATTTTGTATGCTAAAGGTGTTTGTAACTCATATTGCTCTTTGTGTAGATTGATGATTTTAGGCAAATAGCAACTTCATGATGTTTCTAGGGTGCTACTGTGCTTCTGTGACTTCATGTTCTCAAGATCTTTCTGCATAATTAGGTTAGCAGGATGGAGCAAAGATCTAGTAAAAGAGTTTTAGCAATGGAACCACCTTTAGTCTCTTGCTCTGTTTGATGTCCATTTTAAGTGTGACAATCGGCATTCTTCACGAAGGCATGTTGATAAGGCCCAACTGGTCACCTCTTTCATGTAACTGAAATTTTGTACTGGGTATATTAACAAATACATGGACCATCTGGATCCTAATTGAGGAGGTACTAGATAGGGTTATGGATGAGGGGATTTTATGCAATTGGATCAATTGTTTAGCAGTAAGATTCATTTCCATAGTAATTAAGGTCGCTCTTTGAGGATAGACTGTAGATGGGAGTTCTTCATATGTCTCAGATTCCTAAGTTTCTGATATTTACTTCATCACAGACCTTTGAGTATCAGATCAATGACTTAAAAGACATTAGAAGATGCCAACACATACTTCTAGACTTGTCTTCTTGTTCTTTTCTGTTGTTTGGTCTGGAAAGAGTAGGTCATTCCCATCAAATAATACTCAGTAGTCGTGTTTCTCTTTCCCTCTGCCATAGCAATCTTACTTGCTATTGGTCATCTGAGCCCTTTTGGGGGCATTTGCATCCTGCTCCTGCTGTCACATGTTTATATCTTTTTGTTGCACGGTGGTATCATATAGCAAACTACATTTATAGATATCTATGCTTTCTATCAATTATGTCTTGGGTTTTATTTTGGTCCCTCAAACAGGATTTGCTGAGAAAAGAAATTAGGGAGAATCGTGTGAACAGCTGCTTCTTATTGCTCTCTGCATTGGTTGGTTTACTGGGAATCCTGATCGGCTACTCTATAAGATAGGAGCTACACCTGAAGGATAACTCTGCTATTTGGGTGCAGCCTTCATTGTTCGAGAGCTTGCTTGACCTTCACAGTTTTTAGGACTTAGCATGTACATCTGTAGGATCTTTAAAGGTGATGAAGTATGAAACGATTTTTATGTTTATCACAGCTTGACCTTTAGTATTTTAAGGATCAAGATTTTGTTACATAAAATAATTGATCATGGAACTGGACCTCTATGAAGTTGATCATGAAGTAGGTCTATTTGGATCGCTTTCCCTTGGTTCTCCTAGTATTTCAAGGATCAAGATTTTGTTACATAAAATAATTGATCATGGAACTGGACCTCTATGAAGTTGATCATGAAGTAGGTCTATTTGGATCACTTTCCCTTGGTTCTCCCAAATCTTTCAGGTCGTTGCGCATGAATTCTCTTTGCCTAACTTGTGAGGATATTGTGTTGTGCCATGTTGAATTCCAGTTCTAAAAGAAACTGACATGCGAACGAGCAGATGTGGACGGATAGTATAATTTTGAATTCAAAGGTGAACTTAAATTGCGAACAAGAGGCTTCAGCAGTGCCTAATGACGGCCATATGAAAGATGCTCGCAAGTTACAAGTAAGAGAGGCTTGTTGTCCTCCTTCACTGGCTATATTTTCTGGAGGATTGTTGTCGTGGTGACCCGAAAAAAGGAGAATGGTATTACTTGGCAAAAGATGATTTCCCCTCACCAGATCGATTTTCACTCTTGGCCAGTCTATCACCTCGTAAGTTGACCATAGATTCTTTTAATACACAGTTTCCACAAATTCTATGCATCATCATTGGTCATAATCACCCTACCAGTAGTGAAATGAATCGAGACGGTGTTTCTTTAATCTGCCAATCAGGAATGTCCATTGTCCCATGAAGGCACAGTTACATTGCTATGGCAAGGTGTGCACGCGCAAGATGCTGTGAAAACAATAGCAAGACCGCCTCTGCATACAAGTCACCGTCTCATGGGGCGATCGAAGTGTAGGTAACACATCCTCCATCGTCAGTAAAAAAGGACAAGTGACCAAACCAGCAACAAAATCAAAATATCCATGATGCAAAAACTGTTTAGTTTTAGGGAGAATATTACAATGGACCAGACAGGTAAATTTTCAATTTCATTCTCGCTGATCAGTCAACACATTACGACGAGGGTCACATCATTTTTTGGGAGAGGAACTTATTTTACCATTTATCTGAGCACGTAAAATCTGCAAGTGGGGATTCGCGGAAGGTATCTCCAATTTGTTCAGCCATGACAAGCCTTGAATCCTGTTCGTTCATGTTGGAACTGGGATGAAGAGCTCAGCAGCATTCTTGATTAGGAACAGTGCAGTAACATTATCATACCATTTTCCTGCTGCTAAACTAATTCAATGAACACATAAATTGATCACCAGTAGCGTTGAGAATGAACTGAAGCTACAAGTGCTCATTGGCTACGAGACTTGGGGTTAAGCATGCCCTGCTTCAGGGAGTTGACTGCAACAGGTCATGGAACCTCTTCATGTTTATCTGTTTTTCTTCATGAAAATGTCAAGAAATGGTCACTAGTACTCATTTCTTACTAGTACGACATGTCCACATGAGGGCTCTTCAGTCAAAGGGCTACCACCAAATGGACACAAATATGACGAAACAATATCATTAATCGTTCTTGCGTGTCCTTCGTGATTCAAGAAACAGCGGGAACACAATATTTCTCACATAAATAAACCGGAAGTGGAGGTTCAATTGACACTGAATGGCCTTTGCCTGAACATGGACTTTTTGCCCATTGACGCTCCCAAACAAATGGCGGACGCAGGGATTTCTTCTATTTGCCACAGACGTGACTTTGATCTCCAACAAACAATCCGACATCCTGTGGATGTGCCTACAACAAGCATATTCACAACAAAATCAGCATGTTAAATAATAAATTCAGAGATTCAGAGGAATTGCTTCACTCTTGAAAAGGGTCAAGACATTTAGCTTTGGGGAATTTTCTGCAGAGTTGAGTACTTTCAGGCAGAGTGCGAGCCTTTTCTGGTTAACAAAGTATTCTTGGATACATGACGTAGTTCGGCTGCATACACTGACTTACTGTGATCAAAAGTAGCGGAGCCAATAAACAACATCATTGTAAGAGCCTACTGCAGTGAGGGTGTTTGACAAAAACAGTTAAGGCGAAATTCAAGCAAATAAGTAAATCGTCAGCTTGCAGTAATCGTTGAGCATAAGGTCGAGGCTGGGAGGATGTTGTTTACCATGAAAGCTGAAAGAAGGCAAGCGAAGTAGGACCCCGTAAAGAGTATATGCCTACAGCAAAAGGCTTTAAGGGAGACTATGGCATTATCCTTCCTCCATTGAGCTAACCTCATCGATCCTGCAATTGATGCAATTAATGTGTACTAGGCCACTCCTTCTACCTTTAGCCAAAGACAGTAGATTCACCATAAATATTGCCAGTGTGTCCATTTCGTTGCAGATGTTGAAACCTGTCAAGGAAGTCCCAAGAAAGATGAATAAAATGGGTCGTTCCTTAAGTTCCAATTTGTCATCTCAAAGGTAATCTTAAAGAATCCTAACAAGAACATTTCATGAATGACATGTTCCGTCACAGCAATTTTGAACTAGAAAGACTTACGATCAGTGAACATGACTGGAATTTGTTACTAACCTAACAGTGTCATTTTTTCTTTTGCCAAGTGATCCAACAATGTCTATCTCATGTAAGATCGCAGAGACGCGATAATTAGGTTTCTTATTCCTTAATACAATAAATCACCTGAACACATGTAGGTCAAAGACTCAAAGTCCACCAGAGGATGTGCTATCAATGGTTCACCAGAGGAACAATGCCCAGCTAGAAATAGTTTCCATAGCGGATATCTTATTGTATCATGCTAAATCGCTGCTGAAAAGCAAACGCACCAGCAGACAGGAAACAGGGCAGCGACCCAGAAAACCTCAGCCCCATCAAACTAGCATTACCAATCACTCTTTCATACCCGACAAACTAAACAACCCAATATTATTCCCAAACGACAACAAAGACCTTAATTACATCGAATTCATATTGTTCTCGCGATGGAAGGACATCAACTCTTTCTCATACGTTCTAAACCGAATTCACATGAATTGGTGGTAATCAGAGGCCCTGCTACGCGCTCGCGGCAAGTAGCATACCTATCTACCTCGACGAAACGGCAGAAAAAGAACAGGTGGGTCGGCTTCGCAACTCACTCCCCGTCCTCCCTCTTGTCGCCGGGCTTGCGATAGGTCTCCTCGACTTGCTTGGCCTTGACGAGGTAGGTGTTGGCCAGGTTCTTGATGTTGGGGACGTTGTAGTTCTGGGCAACGTAGACGCCGGTCACGGCCCCCAGGAGGAACGAGAAGCTGCTCCTTATGATGCCCATTTGGCCGAATTCGTCGGATTCGGGAGCAATCGATTGGAACTGAGCTCTCGAGAGATGCTCGAGAGAGCGACGGACGAAGCCAAGAAAACGCCTTCGATTTTGGACTTGCTGGGGAGTTGAGGACGATGGACGAGTCGATTTATACCGTGGTGTGTCTTGATTGCCAAGAAAATTTTGGAATGCGATGCGCTAAGTTTTGCGGTTGACCTTGCAAAATTTTGAGTTATTCTATATCTTTGTTTAACAAACCAAAAGATAAGTGTTCGGGAAGTCTTAAAATTTATCCTAAAAATGTAATTGAATCCTAAAACTTTTAAAAGTGCAATTGAGTCATAAGACTTGTCACAAAAATACAATTGAATCCTGAAACTTATAAAAAATACAATTAAATCCTAGAACTTGTCAATATGATGTAATCGAGTTCTAAACTAATCAAGTTTGTGTAATTAAGTCCTAAAAATTGTTAGTATTTTCCATTTATCAAGTTAGACGAAGTTAATTGAAGGATTTGATTACACCAACTTGACTAGTTTTAGGACTTGATTGCACCTTTTTAAAAATTTTAGGACTCAATTGCACTTGACTAATAAGTTTTAGGACTTAATTACATCATTTTGAAAGTTTTAGGACTCAATTGCACTTTCGTAATAAATTTTAAGATTTTCAATGCACTTATCCCAAAATAAAAATATCACCAAAACCTTAATCATCAATGCGCCAAAATTGTGAAATTTTTTATAACAGCAGGTATTGATTTAGATAATACGAGAGTTTGTTTTTCTCATCATAGTTTTGGATTCAAATCTTATTGGGAATACTTTTAAAAGTAAAATCTTGAATCCACCATATTGAAGTGGGGGAGTGCATCCTTGAGATCGCCCATAGAAGTGAACCGGTCAATGTGTGTGAAAATTGGACCGGACGCCATATCACCGCTTAAGCAAAAAAAGAAAAGTTGCTCAGCCACTGTTCCTTTGCCCCCGATGGAAAAGGATTCCAGGGTACTCAAAATCAAGAGCGAGAAGAAAATATTTGTGAAACTATTTAGCTACAAAGAAAAATATTCACAATGCAAGAGTAAGAAATGCTTTGAATGACAATGAAACTAGAATGAGAAGAAAATTATATGCCGAACCACATTGAGTTGCTTTAGTGACTAAAAAAATAAAAATTTATATATGATTTTGCAAAAACATTGCAAATTCCATTATGCATAGTGCTAAAATATACATGCTTAGGTAGGTTTCATCTCTGTAAAATTTTGAAAGAATTAATGATAATGGAAGGAAGATGTCAATGAACAAAGACTATTATCATTTAATTATCATTGATAAAGCAATAAGGAAAATAATCGTCACGAGTAATATAATTTCACACATCTATTTCCTCCAGATAATTCCATAATTGAAATTGTTAGTGAAGCCAGAATTATTGGCGATTTCAAATATGGTTGCATGTAACAATTCATATCATGTTATCCCATTCGAAACGGGACGAATGCGATTCAACATTTGTAGATAGTTAGACGAGCATCAATGGGGAACAAATGGGCCGACGTCCGAATCAAACTCTTAGTCCGCTCCCTTTCAATTCTCTTACAATTCTCTTTCAAGTGGTTCCAAGTGTTCCGGTTGATGTTCAAGATCAATTCCAGGAGTTTGCTTGCCGAATTCTTCTTCTTGCATCCACTTTTCAACATCCCAAGTGTCTCGCCAATTTTCATCAGAAGATTGCAGGAATTTGAGTATGGTGGAACCCATGTTCTCTCTCCATTGCTCGAATGGTGGTAGTCCCAATTGAGCCATCAGCCACTTCTCATACTCAAACTATCAAGCACATGAAAATAAGGTCAACTTCTTATTATATGGGGAAAAAAAGTTCAAGGAGCCTCATTTTGTAGTTAATAAGGGGGTCTCAGCCAATATAGTTGAACAGATTTTTGGGGATAATACTATTTTTGAGATCTGTTGCGGATTTTTCCTAATGTTTAGGAGAAATTACTACATACAAGTGCAATATACATACTAAAATGAATATGGATTGTTGTAAATTGTCGGTCCCATGTAGATTTTACCAGATCTGATAGGTCCTACTTGATAGGATCGTCCAAATTGAGTTTAGTATGCATATTAGGTTCATGGAATATTGACTCGTTTTTTTTAGACTGTAATTCTTATACGTAACAAAATAAGTTTAACTGGGGAAAGAATAGGTTTACTGCCGAGTTAAGAAAATAATTTGCACACTACAATCGACATATAGAAGAATTCCGTTACAAAATAAACTCCAAATACATATATCATTTATCTAATGGCGAATGTATGTATGTGTATATATAATGAACCTAATAATAATCCACAAAACATTTTGTCTTTTTAATTTGTTGAGGTGGCCAATTTGCTGAAAAAGTCTACGCACCATGAATTGAGGAATGACCAGTTAGTTCCAACCTTTTCAATTTCAAGCCTGAGTGTAATGCTTGGGCCATCCAAGCCCTACGATGCGCTGGTAATGTTCTTGAACGGAAGACATCATCTCTTCTTCACTTGGCAACACCAATTCTCCAGATAACACCTTGGCCACCCACTTCGACTGTAACTCGCTAATTTGCGTCGCAACTGTCTGATCATGGTCAAGATCGATAGAGAGAATGTGAAAATAGGGATTTAAACCAAAGAATTAGTGAACCCAAACCCACGCTAGCACATGTAATTGCTTCCATAGTTCTAAACTCATGTTCTCATGAGATGTCTAAGCCATAAGTACGGCATAAAACATCCAAACTAAGTGTTTTCTTTCCCTAATCTTTCTTTGTATTTTCCCCTATTGTCAAAGATTAATTCCTACATCTGTGAACTTAGACACTAGTTAATGGAGAAATAGTTGTTTGCTTGGCTCAAAACATGTACTATGTTAAATTATGACTTGAGTTTGAACGGTTTATGGAATTCGATTTAATTGGATAAATATCCAAGTTTAATCGCATTAAGGAAAATTCAAGAAAGGAGCTTCTTTTTCGGAGGAAAGCAGAAAAATATTTCTGGCACTGTAGGACAAAAAGATGGGCACACATATTCTACAATTTATGTATTTCTTTTATGGGGTAAAAATGTCTTTGTAGGAGGGAAGGATTTTATTTTATTTTTGGTAGGTGTGGCTTGCGGAAGTCATACTAAAGAAAAGAGGAAATCCTCCGTGGGCCCCTCTTGCATCTTGGTATAGCCGCACGGTGAAGGATAAAATAAAATCAAGGGTTTCTTTGCCAATGGTAGCCGAACAGTAAGAGCTTTTCTTTCTTTGAAGCCGCCGCACGAACAGCAGAGCCGCACAGTAGACTCCAAAGGGGCGAATGCGAATAAAGGGAGGAACGGCATAGTAACCTCTCCTTGATCGCGTGCGGTGGAGTCGAAGATTTTTGCTTGGATTATTTGTTGCTGGCTCTCCCCGTGGATGTAGGTACCGATATTCGGATCGAACCACGTAAATCTTAGGTGTCCTTTATCGTTCCTCGTTTATTTCTCTGGTATTTTCAAATTGACTTAATTTGCAAGATCCTGTCGTTTCCGCGTTATATTTCCAACAATTGGTATCAGAGCTTGAAGATAGGATTTTCTGGATTGTGATTTGGGGCTTTTGTTTGTCTGATTATTATCTGGAAATTCTGCTATTGCAATTATGTCTGGAGCGAAAGTTGAGATTGAGAAGTTTAACGGGAGGAACAACTTTGGGTTATGGAGCGTCAAGATGCGTGCGCTATTGACAACCCAAGGTTTAGCCAAGGCATTAGACGGCGAAGATGGGTTACCCATTGCAATGAAAGCGGCTGATAAAGCAGAGCTATTGGAGAAAGCAAAGAGTATAATCCTGCTGAATTTATCGGATGAAGTGTTAATAGAGGTGGTTGAGGAAAAAGATGCCGCAGCATTGTGGGCAAAATTACAGGCACTCTATGTAACGAAGGGTCTGAATAATCGCTTGTACATGTTGAAGAGGATGTTTCAATTTCGATATACTGAAAGTACATCGATCAAATCACATCTAGATGAATTTAATAAACTCATGATGGATTTGAAGAATATCAGTAAGATACTTGATGATGAAGAACAAGGCATGATGTTGTTGGCTTCTTTGCCTGAATCATAGGAGCACTTTACTGATTCACTACTTCGGGGGCGTACTACGATTACCTCAGAAGAGGTAAAGTCTGCATTATTTTCTAAAGAGTGGCAGAGAAAGTTGTGAGATGATAGTCTAGCGCAGGAGGTAGCGTGGGGACCAGTGATTCGAGGTAGATAACAACATCGAGGGTCTAGTAGCAGTAGAGGTAAAAGCAGGTCAAAGTCACGCAATAGAAAGTCTAAAGGACGCGTGAAGTGCTTTGAGTGTCACGAGGAGGGGCACATCAGGAGAGATTGTCCGAAGCGAAGAAATAGAGGTGACAAGCAGAATGCCACAAGCAGTGTGGCAAACGTTGCTGAGGAGAGCACTAGTGATGCAGAGGCCGTCTTGTGTGTGACTACTGGTTCGTTAGGAGACGAATGGGTGCTAGATTCGGGGTGTTCTTATCATATGACGCCTCATAGGAACTGGTTTACTACTTACCAGACTGCAGATGGTGAGTTCTGATGGGGAATAATGCAACCTGCAATGTTATGGGGATAGGAACAGTTCAGATTCGGATGCACGATGGGGTGGTACGCACACTGACAGACGTGAGGCATGATATCGGGTGTAAGTACACCACTGAAGGTGGAGTGCTGAAGGTCTCTTGAGGTGCCATGACAGTGATGAAGGGGAAGAAAGTGAGTTCTCTCTATCATCTACTGGGAGAGACCGTGACCGGAGCTGCTGCAGTTTCATCAGGTGAGTCAGATTCTGACTTGACTCAGTTATGGCATATGCGTTTGGGGCACATGAGTGAGGCAGATATGATGACGTTGAGTGATAGGGGGTTGTTGAAGGGTCAGAAGACAGGAAAGCTGGACTTATGTGAGCACTGCATCTTTGGGAAGCAGGGCCGGATTAAGTTTACAACAGCTGTTCATTCAACCAAGTGACCGGTTAAGTACATTCATTAAGACGTCTGGGGCCCATCTCCGGTTCTTTCGAAAGGAGGTGCCCGATATATGTTGACATTTATCGATGACTACTCTAGAAAGGTATGGGTTTACTTTCTGAAGCACAAATCTGATGTGTTTGATCGGTTCAAGAAGTTTAAGGCATTGATTGAGAAGCAGTCAGATAAACAGATCAAGTGTCTGAGAACTGATAACGGCATGGAGTTTTGTGGTAAAGATTTTACCGAGTTTTGCGAGAAAGAAGGGATTGTGAGACACCGCATAGTGCCCGGGACACCACAGCAGAATGGCGTTGCAGAACGAAAGAATAGAACTTTACTAGAGCGAGCTCGGAGCATGCTTTCGCATGCAGGAATAGGCAAGGAATTTTGAGCCGAAGTAGTGAACATGGCATGTTACTTGATTAATCGATCTCCATCATCTGCTATAGAGTGGAAGACTCCTGAGGAAGTATGGTCGGAGAAACCTGTTGATTACTCTGGATTACAAGTATTCGGATGTCCTGCATATGCTCATGCGAGTGATGGTAAGCTTGAGCCGAGGGCGAAGAAGTGCATATTTCTGGGTTATGCACATAGGGTGAAAGGTTATCGGCTGTGGTGCATTGATCCCAAATCACCCAATTTTCTAATTAGTAAAGACGTGATCTTCGACGAGACTACAATGCTTCAAAGGAGGAGTCTTGAGACACAATTAGCAGAGCAGACAAATCATGATGTCAGTAGTGAGATGGAGATTCAGGTGGAGACTCCGGAGACCTCGAAGGTAACAGAAGTTGAGATTACAAATGAGGCCGCAGTTCCTGAAGTCGGTGATAATGAACAATTAGCAGAGCAGCAGCACACTATAGCCGCGGATAGACGGAGAAGGCAAATTAAACCACTGGTACGTTATGGTTATACAGATATTGCTTATGCATTGACTATAGGTGACGAGGTGGAGACAGATGAGCCTTCGTCTTACTCTGAGGCGATGGCTAGTTCTGAGTCGTCACAGTGGCTAGGGGCTATAAGTGAAGAGATGGAATCACTCCATCGAAATCAGACATGGGAGTTGGTCAAAGTACCTACGAGCCAGAAGATTGTCGGTAGCAAGTGGGTCTTTAAACGGAAGGAGGACATTCCCGGTGTCGAGGGAGCGAGATATAAGGCGAGACTTGTGGCGAAGGGGTATACACAGCGGGAGGACATTGACTACAACGAGGTGTTCTCTCCTGTGGTAAGATATACTTCTATTCGTGTTTTACTTGCCTTAGTTGCTGCACAGGATCTCGAGCTGGAGCAGTTAGATGTGAAAACAACGTTTCTTCACGGTGAGTTGGAGCAGCGGATTTACATGAGGCAACCAGAGGGATTTGCTATTTCGGGTAAGGAAGATTATGTTTGTTTATTGAAGAAATCGTTATATGGGCTGAAACAGTCTCCTAGGCAGTGGTATAAGCATTTCGATTCTTTCATGGCTAGTCAGAACTATTATAAAAGTTAGATGGATATCTGTGTTTACTATAGGAGATTGGAGGATGGGTCTTTGATATATCTGTTATTATATGTTGATGATATGTTAATAGCAGCTAAGAATATGTCTGATATTGTTGTGCTGAAGAGGCAATTGAGTGCTGAATTTGAGATGAAAGATTTAGGTGCTGCAAAGAAAATATTGGGTATGGAGATTTTGCGTGACAGAACTGTAGGAATTTTACATCTTTCTCAGAAGAAATATATTGAGAAGATTGTTGCACGATTTAATATGCAGTCAGTGAAATCTGTAAGTACACCTTTAGCGACGCACTTTAAACTTTCAGATAAGTTATCACCGCAGACTGAGGAGGAGGAGGAGCATATGTCCCATGTTCCTTATTCTAGTGCAGTGGGTAGTATTATGTATGCTATGGTATGCACTAGGCCTGATATTTCACAAGCAGTAAGTGTAGTTAGCCGTTATATGAAGCGACCTGGTAAAGCTCATTGGGAAGCTGTGAAGTGGATCCTTAGATATTTGAAGGGGACAGCAGACGTTGGAATTGTGTACCAAAGGGACAGTAATGGCAGTGAGACCACTGGTTATGTGGATTCGGATCACGCAGGTGACTTGGATGAACGCAAGTCTTTAGCAGGGTACGTATTTACGTTATCAGGTGGTGCAGTTAGTTGGAAGGCATCCTTACAGGATCACATTGCCTTGTCGTCGACTGAGGCAGAGTACATGGCACTGACCTTTATAGCAAAAGAGGCAATATGGCTAAAAGGTTTGCTCTCGGACTTTGGGTTAGATCAGAATAGTGTTGATATACACTGTGATAACCAAGGTGCGATATATCTGGCATATAATCCGGTTTATCACGAGCGAACGAAGCATATCGACATCAGGTACCACTTCATCCGAGATGTCTTAGCGAAGGGTATGGTTGTTGTTAAAAAGATTGCAACATCAGAAAACCCAGCGGATATGATGACAAAGTCTGTTCCTTTGGTGAAGCTCAAGCTCTGCTTGAGCACAATTGGCGTCTGTGGAGGATGAGCGCCCGTTGGGGCATTGGGAGAGCTATAGTATGAATGATGAGTACTATAATTTGGCTACAAACATCGAGCCAAGGTGAAGAATTATTAAATTATGACTCGAGTTTGAACCGTTTATGGAATTCGATTTGATTGGATAAATATCCAAGTTTAATCGCATTAAGGAAAATTCAAGAAAGGAGCTTCTGTTTCGGAGAAAAGCAGAAAAATATTTCTGGCACTACAGGACAAAAAGATGGGCACACATATTCTACAATTTATGTATTTCTTTTATGGGGTAAAAATGTCTTTGTAGGAGGGAAGGATTTTATTTTATTTTTGGTGGGTGTGGCTTGCAGAAGTCATACGACAGAAAAGAGGAAATCCTCTGGGGCCCCTCTCGCATCCTGGTATAGCCACACGGTGAAGGATAAAATAAAATCAAGGGTTTCTTTGCCAATGGTAGCCGAACAGTAAGAGTTTTTCTTTCTTTGAAGCCGCCGCACAAACAGCAGAGCCGCACAGTGGACTCCGAGGGGGCGAACGCGAATAAAGGGAGGAACGGCACAGTAACCTCTCCTTGATCGCGTGCGGAGGAGTTGAAGATTTTTGCTTGGATTATTTGTTGCTAGCTCTCCCCGTGGATGTAGGTACCGATATTTGGATCGAATCACGTAAATCTCTGGTGTCTTTTATCGTTCCTCGTTTATTTCTCTGGTATTTTCGCACTGACTTAATTTGCAAGATCCTGTCGTTTCCGCGTTATATTTCCAACATACTAAGTGTTAGCTTTTGTTACAGTATATCAGTTGACTTTCTCCTTGCAAAACCTTAATCTCTAGTTAGTCTACATGATGGGAGAAAAAATGAACAAATTTCATAAGAAAATTTACCAGAGAGGGTATGCCAATGAAAGAGAGCTGAGGAGCTAGGCTTGGTGGGAAAACATGTTTATATAAAGGCCCCACTCGGTTGTTATGCACACTCACAAGTCCCTTCGTCTTCAGAAATGGAAAATGGTAACTATATCTGCAACATGTATATCAAGCAAGGTACATATATCATCAGACATCAAGTTATTTGTGGAATTTTGAAAAATAAATGCTCAAGTAACTGCAGAAAACTATAAGTTTTTTGATACCCAGTGCAATGGATGATAACATCTGCATATATGGACGATCCATCTTGAAACACTAATATACCATCGTCTTCAGCATGTGCTATCTACCAAAAGACAAAACAAGCTGATGTTTGAGAAAGGGAATTATATCTTTTAAGGCTGCGAGTTGCAATTAGAAAGCAGTGATGAAGTTAAATGGAAGGTACCATGGCATGTTGGAAGACCCCAGCAGGTTTTCTAAACTTCACAGCTTGGGCATATGTTTGTCTCGAGGCTTGATGAACTTCTCTGGCAAAAGGTAAGATGTCTTTGGCCATTTCGGTTGCGCTAATCCCTTTCCTTATGACCAACACAATCTGTCGAGCAGAATAGCGAAAAACATAACAAGAGTGAGCTATAAGTTGAAGGCACACGCGATATTGTCGGTCAGGAAAAACGGCTTGCGATGTGATTAATGAGTAAAGACCCAACTCAAAAAATCACCACTTAAGTACTCTTTTAAAGACTCGATCCATGTATTTATAAGGCCGAAGTAGGAAACCCTCAACTAGGTGTTTGTTTCAAGGATGAATTAAGCCCGTAGCCATCCTGACGAAGGCGCTGAGTAGTCGTCGGGGCGAGAAAATATAGAAAAACTACAATCCTTGTAGGTTTCTAGCGAGAACGGTAAGGGGCAGTGATGCGAAATTTATTAGTGGTGCGTTTCTGGACCAATTGGACAAACAGAAGTCCAAACAGAAAGCGAAACGGTGATGCGATGCAATTAGATGGTTTTTTTTCTATTATTTTAGTATATTTTTATGAGTTAATTTTAAGGGTCGTTTTTGTAATTTTGCTATTAGATGCTTATTAACTTTCTTTTATGATTAGATTTCCTATTATGATTAGGTTTTCAATTCAGATTAGGTAACTTTCCTATTATGATTAGGTTTTCAATTCAGATTAGGTAACTTTCTTATTATGATTATATTTCCTATTGTAATTAGGTTTAACCCCTATAAAAGGGTGTTTAGGGTTTGTTTTGAAGGATAACATTATTATCATCAATATTGAATTTCGAGATTTTTCTCTCTAAGCAAGGTTTTGCTTGAATTATTCACTGAACGCTGCGTCAGGTGGTATCAAAGCCTATGGCAACCGGTAGTGGTCTTCGTGACGATGCTCAGGAGACTGGAGCCCATACGTCAAATTTCACGCGTCTTCCTAATCTGCATTACACGTGAGAGAAAGTGTTGAAGTACGCCAAGTTAGGGTTTATATACTCTTTATATATATATCATTCGCGCGTCAAGTAAGAGGCAGGCGATTACTTTCTTAAATTGTTCACGTTTTGGTCAATCTTTATACACCATTTTGATTGACGACGTGGTCGAATCCTTATGAAGATTACTGGCGTATATATGCACCATTAACATAAAGTTCTCAGCAATTTCTTTCAAATTCATTCAAATTCGCAGGTTCTTTGCTTTTCTTTCTACCTCATAGATCGCATACATCAGATTTCCTAAGTCCGCCAGCATCGGTTTCGCTTTTGTCATGTTATGGTCCATAGTGTACACCTAAATGAAGGTCAAGGCCCACCATCGACTGCTTTTGGTTTGTCCCTATATGTTTTTGAATTTTGATAAGCTTGGATAAATTGCCTTTAAAACTTTAAGGTGTAATCTATATTAAATAAAGCTCACATGCAAATGATGATGGATATAAATTATTAAACCAAATCGGTATTCGTTGAATTTTATTTGTAATCTTATTAAATTGTCGATCATGATTGAGATGAGGTGGATCGACCGACGCAACGTGCACAGATTGGATTTAGCCAATTAATTATTAAACTTTTTTAGACTTTCCCCAGTAAATTAACGCGCCGATGCCATACGCAAGAAAGAAATCTCCTATAAGCGAGAACGAGTTGAAGTACAGACCCAGTAAACCCTCCCGATCCGGGTCCCGAAACCATGGCGAAACTGCAGGTAAAGGCGGCGGTGATCGGAGCCGGCATGTCGGGTCTCGTTGCAGCCAGGGAGCTCCGCCGCGAGGGGCACCAAGTGGTGGTGTTCGAGAGCAGCAGTGATGTTGGCGGCACGTGGCTGTACGACCCTCGGGTCGAATTCGACCCACTGGGATTGGATCCGGGCCGTGATGTTGTCCATGCCAGCATGTACCGGTCGCTCCGGGCGAACCTGCCGAGGCAACTCATGGGTTTCTCGGACTACCCATTTCTCAAGCAGGGAAGCGGGGACCCGAGGAACTTCCCAGGTCACGAGGAGGTGCTCCGGTTCTTGCGCAGCTTCGCAGAGGATTCTGAGCTGATCGAGTTGATCCGGTTCGGGCACGAGGTGGTTCGGGTCGAGCAAGCCGTCGAGGGGAGGCGGGACCACTGGGCCGTGGAGTGGCAGACCCGTGGTGGGGAGGAGGCGGTGGGCGTGGATTTTTTCGAGGCTGTGGTGGTTTGTAACGGCAAGTACAGCCAACCAAAGATTGCTGAATTTCCAGGTACACCGTCTGATCTAACATTATCCTTGTCGAATCGTTTCTCTTCGTTGATATTGTCGAACAGAAGAAAGAGAATTCGCATTATAATGGAGCTTTGGATTTGGGCCGGTCAACCAAATTGGGCTTGACTTCTCTCCTACTCATATCAACCCTTTTCAATCACAATACTCAATTACAAATATAAAAAGAACCCTTCCCAATCGCAGTCCCAGATGTGCGAAACTCTTAAGAGTTTTTTCTCCAACCCCTCATTCTTTATAAACTTATTTTTTTCGTCAAAAGAGGGCACTTTCAATCTTATTTACCTACTAAGAAAATTATCACGTAAGCATTAATGTGGCTTTTCTTAAATTATCAATTTTTAATATCTTGTTCGATCAAGAGAAAATTTAGAAACTTGAGCGTTTGATAGCACAATATGTTTTTTTTTTACCCAAAGGTTAAAACTACATAGGAAAAATGACACAAACAGTCACTGAACTTTGGTCCAATGTTCAATTTGATCCCTGAACTTTTAATTTGTTCAATGTAGTCCCTGAACTTTAACCTAATGTGCAATGTGGTCCATGAACTTTTAATTTGTTCAATATCATTCCCGAACTTTTGGTACATGTTCAATTCAGTCCCTGGACTATATGAAAATATTCAATGCAGTCCTTTCCATTAATTCAAGTTCAGGGACTGAATTGAACATGTATCAATAGTTCAGAGATAACATTGAACAGATTAAAAGTTCAAAGATCACATTGAACATTAGCCTAAAGTACATAGACTACATTGAACAAATCAAAAGTTTAGAGATCAAATTATACATTGGGCCAAAGTTCAGGGACTGCTTGTTTTATTATCCCAACTGTATGTGATAAAATAAGGTTTCCCATTAGAAAGAGGCAACCATCCTTAAAACTAGAACCATTTATAATTATTGTCAAGACAATAGTGTAATTATGTTCAAATAATTGCATGTTATACATGATCAGTTGCCAAGTAAATATTGTTATCACATACTATATTTAATATCATATGTTATATGGATTAAATTAATTTTTTTTGTGTTACAAAAGGAGGCATCAAGCCTAAGAGAAAATCAAAATACTAAAGACCGCTAGAGGTGAGCATGGTTCCAGGCTAGAACTTAGAACTTGAGAACTGGACTGGTATGAACCTGTTCGGTTCCAGGTTCAAATGTATGCAAAGTAGGTTTCAAATTCCAAAAATTGGGCCTGTTCTAACGGGTAGGTTTCAGGTTCTAGGTAGGTGGAACCTGACTTGAAACCTGGAACCTAAAATATATTCTTGTGTTTTTCTTGGTTTATGTCTTCGCCGATCCTGCGGTATTCCATGGCGTCCGATGATGAGTGTATAATCTGGAAACATTAGTATGAGCTTCTCTTTTATGACTGAGACTTTTACTTTATTAATGTTTCATATTTTTCGTGTGTCTAAATATAAGTCGTGGTCAGTGGATTGTAATAATAAGTGGTGACTATAAAAGATGATGATTCTCTTCAATCGTTCAATTAATAATTCAGGTGGAACTTGGGTAAATTCTATAATCGATCTTGAAACCTGCGACAGGATAGATTCCAGATTTCAAAAAATGATAAACATGTTCCAACCGGTAGGTTTCAAGTTTCAGATGGAATTTGTACGGAATCTAAAACCATTCAACCCTAAGTACCACTTTCCATGTACGTAAATTTTGTATGCATCTGGTACATGTGAGCTCATTCTGTTTTCCTTATTGGATCTTGTAAGTCTCACATGGGGTCACAACATTTAATGGCTGAGAACCACTCACGACGGCGGCCACCACCGGCCTCCCTTAGGTTCCTCTTTAAGGTGTGATGCAATCCTTTTTCTCTTGTCCTCAACTACATATCGAAAGACAACCACCCAATTTTTTCCCTCTTTCTTCGAGGCCACTTATGAATGAATTCATTCGTTAACTGATTTGCTTAATTTGAAATTGAGTTGGCAAGCAGGTGGACTTAAATTTTAAAAATTAATCAACTTAGAATGTCATATTGCGTTATGGAAAGTAAAATACATAAACTTGAAGCATATGCTTCTTCGGAATAGTTCTCTCTTCCTTTTACTACAAATATTTGTGTACCATACGACTGTGAAGTCTCTTCTTTCTTGTTCATTTTACTTTGTTACTAGAAAAATATTTTTCATAGGGAGATCAACATGGCCAGGAGAACAGCTGCACAGTCATAATTATCGAGTTCCTGAGCCATATAAAGATAAGGTATGGCTGATATGCCTTGTTTATTTTTCGAGAACATGATTTCGAATTGACTTATGAAATTTCTTGGATGATATCGAGTAATCAATTGGTTTTTGCAAACCGAGCTTCTAAAGGGGTGTACTAAGTGTTAATTATGATCACTAGCTCTCTCACATGTTTAGAGAGGTGTTACAAGCTCCATCTTGTAAAGCACTGACTTTCTTGTAAGTATCGGCATCTATCATCCAATGATGCTCTCTGCACTTGATGTGTGATTCAGTTAGTTCCTGACTCCTTCACTATTCTAGCTAAAAACTTTTGGGAGCAACCCAACATGTTCGGGAGTAGATTTGAAATATCCCGAAGATTGCTCATCATGAATACTAAATAGGAAGGAGGTCTATTATGGTAGGACGCTGAAAAGGAAGAAATCTAAATAAGAAGTATTATTTAGAAAAGATATCAGGATGTAATCAATTCTAGTAATTGCCCAATTAGAGGAATTCCAATCAATCGAGGAGATTTTTGATTTGGAGGTAATTGTCAATTAATTAGGGAGGATTCCTAACTTGAGTGGAGATCTACTGCTACATACAGAAGGGCTTGGGTAGAGGATTTTGTGTGCACCAGAAAATACTCTAGAGAAATCACAAGAGTCTTCAACAATGTGTGTAAATCCGAGAGATCTTCAGAGTTCATCAAGTGAGGATGTGTTTTGTAATAGTTGTGAGGATTTTTGGGAGAAGAACACTAGAAGTGCCAAAAGTTGTGTACGACGCTCACTTTAGTACCAAAAGTTTTTTTTTGGCTCGCTTTAGTGCCAAATCGGAGAAAAACAATATAAACATACGAGGAGTGTACTTTGTCTAGATTTTCTCGCCCCAAGGATTACTCCGACCATTTGTTGAGATGGCTAGGGGTTTAACTCGTCCTTAAAACAAACATCTATTCGAGGGTTTCCTACTTTGGCCTTATACATGGGTCAAAGTCACTACAGAACATAAGTGGGTGATCTTTAGAGTTGAATGGGTCATCACTCATGGATCACCTCGCAAGCCTTTTCTCATGACTTACAATAACGCGTATGTGCCTTCAACGTATATCTCACTCTAAATATGTCGATGTATGAACGCTTTTCACTATTTTGCGTGACAGATTGTGTTGATAATAGGAGGAGGGATTAGCGCTGGCGACATAGCCAAAGACATCTTACCTTTTGCCAGGGAAGTTCATCAAGCCTCAAGAGAGACAAATCCCCAAGTTGCAAAAATGAGAAAGCTCGCTGGGGTCTTCGAACATCCCATGGTACTTTACATTTTACATTATCCCTCTTTTCTAATTGCAACTAAGTTCAGATGAAAATCCAATTGAAGCCTTAGAGATATAATTCCCATTCTGAAATATTAATCCTGTTTTGTCTTTTGAATAGATAGCATGTGCTGAAGACAATGGTGAATTAGTGTTTCAAGATGGATCATCTATATATGCAGATGTTATCATCCATTGCACTGGGTATAAAAAAACTAATAGTTTCCTGCAGTTACTTGAGCTTTTACTTTTCAAAATTCCACAAATAATTTAATGTCTAATGATATATATATCTTGCTTGATATACATGTTGCAGATATAGTTACCATTTTCCATTTCTGAAGACGAAGGGACTTGTGAGTGTGGATAACAACCGAGTGGGGCCTTTATATAAACATGTTTTCCCACCAAGCCTAGCTCCTTGGCTCTCTTTCATTTGCATACCCTATCTGGTAAATTTTTTCTTGAAATTTGTTTTTTTTTTCCTCCCATCGTGTAGACTAACAAGAGATTACGGTTTTGCAAGGAGGAAGTCAACTGATATATGATAGCAAAAGGTAACACTCAGTACATGTTTTGAGCCAAACAAACAACTTTTTCTCCAGCAATTAGAGAATCGCTCACTGATTAATCAATGTTTAAGTTGAAATATACGAATTAATCGTTCATAATAGGTGAAAACGCAAAGAGAATACGGGAAAGAAAACACTTCATCTTTGGATGTTTTATGCCATACTTATGGTTTAGACATTTCATGAAATCATGAGTTTAGAATTGTGGCAGCAATTAACTGTATTCGCCTGGGTTCCAGTTCACTAATTTTTCGTTTAATTCCTTATTTTCACATTCTCTTGATCGATCTCAACCGGGATTAGACTTTTCCGGCACAACCTAGCGAGTTACAGTCGAAGTGGGTAGCCAAGGTTTTATCTGGAGAATTGGTGTTGCCAAGTGAAGAAGAGATGATGTCTTCTGTTCTAGAACATTACCAGCACATCGAAGAGCTTGGATGGCCCAAGCATTACACTCACAGGCTTGAAATTGGAAAGGTTGGAACTAACTTGTCATTCATCAATTCATAGTGCCTATACCTTTTCAACAAATTGGACACCTAAAAAAATTTAAGAAAACAAAATGTTTTGTGGATTATTATTAGGTTCACTGTTAGTGTAAGAAAAAATTTGTACATTTACCGTTGGATAAATGACATGTGTGTTTAGAGTTAATCTTTCAACCAAATTCTTCCATATGTCAATTTTCCAATGCTGAGTGTGCAAATCATTTCCTAAGCTGGCAGTGCACCTATTATTTTTCCGGTTGGACTTATCTTTTTAGATATAGAAAATACAGTCTAAACAATGAGTAAATATTGCATGAACCTAGTATACATAGTAAATTCAATTTGGACCATGAGATCTTGTAGGACCTACTTGAGACCGACCATCTTTAATAATCTAGATTCAGTTTAATACATGTATTACCCTCATATGATAGTTTCTTGTAAACAGTAGGCAAAATCCATAATAGAGGTAAAAAGTAGTATGATCCCAAAAATTTTTGTTGAACTATATTGGCTGAGATCATCTTATTAACTATACAATGAGGCTACTTTAATTTTTTGTTTCCCATAAGAAGGAATTGATCTTCTGTCATGCGCTTGATAGTGTGAGTATGAGAAGTGGCTTGTGCATCAATTGGGAATTCCATCCTTGGAACAATGGAGAGAGAAGATGGCTGTTATTGGACTCGAATGGTTGAAAGTTCGGCAATCTTCTGACGAAAATTGGCGAGACACCTGGGATGTTGACAAGTGGATGCAAGAAGAAGGATTTGGCAAGCAAATTCCTTGAATTGATTCTGAAGATCATTCGGAATTATTGTAACCACTAGAATGAGACAAGAGAGTTAAAATAGGATGACAAGTGGTATAAGGACACTGTAAGTGCCAAAATTTTCGTATGATGCTCACTTTGGTGTCAAAAGTTTTTTTTTGTATCACTTAAATGTCATTTTTTTTAAAAAAATTTTCACTTAAGTGTCAACTCTGATTTGGGTTGCTGAAAATCCGACGTTACCATATTTTATTAATTTCTCCAACCGATGTGACTCGCCGGTGTGCCTAGTTAGCATATATACCCCTTAATGACATCATCTACGTGTTTTGCCCCAAATTCGAAATCTAAATTAACCATTCACCCAATTTGCCAAATATAAACCCTAAATCAAAACTCTAATTCGTTTTGGTGAAGAGAAACGCAAGGAAAGGAGTAGCCCAGGAGCTGAGAGTGGCGGCATCGTTTAATTAGCTCAAGCATGCCGGGATTTCGTTGGCCACCTTGAGCTCATTGCAGCCAAAACATATCACGAGAGAGCATACACACAAATCTCACGTAGGAATCCTCTCTTGAGGAACTTTGAAGTTCAATCGTCGGTGATCCTTATCCATTGCTTTCCATACGTTGTCGCCACCGTCAATTGACGTCGTCGTTGCTTCCAAGTCTCGCTAGCCTGTGGCGACCTCCCCGTGCTAGCCGAGGCCAAAAGGTTTGAGGCTAATGGATTGCTAAGTCTAAACTTAGGACTTAACTCAGGCTCTTCCAAGCCCATATCAACTTACGACTTAAGGTTCAAGTTATTAACATGCAAATTAATTTTATCTACGAGTCGTCACTAATCAGTTTAGGGTGGATCGATTAGAAACCCAAGTAAAGCAACGAGGGAATTGCCTTACTGCTATAAACCAGAGATTCAAATGAGTTCAAGGACTTGATTACGCTAGTTACACAACTAGTGCCCTTTCGATACATAATCTAGTTCAAACATCACTTAAAGGTGTTCATGCAGTCTTCCTAAAGATTGTGAATCCTAGTGTTCTAGTCCTAACTAGGCTAAGGAAATGCCAAACAATGCATCAGAAGTGCGCAAACAACAACCTAACATGCCTCTGATCGGCCATATGTAAGGTCAAATTAAACACACAATTCAAAACGTACGAAGGAAACAACATGCAATTAAGCATGTCATTAATCACACACAAAATGCAAGATAAGGCAATTCCAAAGCCCAATTTCCATTTTTTTGATTTTCGGATTTTTTTAATTTTGTAATAAAAATATTTTTAATATTGAAATAATTATATTATATTATATTGTATTATAAACGGACCCAGGTCGAATCTCCGGATCCACCTTCGGGCTTGGACCCGGGTTAGGATCGGCCTAGGTCGGCCAAGACCTACGGACCGAGTTCGACTTGACTCTGTAGACTTGGCCGACCTGATTCCTGTGCCTAGGCACATGAGGCTTGGCCAGTACCGAGAGCTAACGTCTGGCTGCTAGCCGATGGCTGCCTCGGTGCTTCAGGCCGAGGAGCCCCCCTCATGGTCGGCCATTGCTTGGCCAGCAAAAGTGATCGCCGGCTGAGCCTCAGCCAGGGCCTCTTGTGCCCAAGCTTCGGCGGAGGCTTGGCCGGCCACCCTTAGCCTCCATTCGGCCTCGACTAACCACCACACGGCCACCACCAAGTCCACAGCTCGTCGCCCGGTCCCTATGTCGCCGACCAAGGACCAAAAATTCAGATCTCATTTAGGCATTTCATCGAATGGGTGGTATGCACAATGGAACGAAGAATTCCCAATCTTGGTCGGGGCTCGAACTTATACCGACAATCGTGACACACCACCTATGGTGAAACTAGGACTAGGAAAAAGGAAGGCATGGGCCGGAGTTCGCATGAGTCAGACGGCTGCAAGCTCCGGCTCGGTACACCAAAAAACAGGGCAAAATAGGGATCCAGAGGAGATTAACTAGTTTGGCTCTAGCTAAGGGATCGTCGGCCGGCTCACAAGTGACGACGAAGCTAGCTGGGTCTCTCTCTCGCCTGTCTTCGCTCACTCTCGCCCATTTCTCTCTATATCGCTCTGTTCTCTCTTGGCTTCCTATCTTTATTTTTCCTTCGAAAAAAATGGCTGACCTTTTCTCTCTCCTCTCTCCTCGACTTTTATGGTGGCCGGCGGCCACCTGCTCTCTCCCTCTCATCCGCTCAATCTCTGCTCTATTCTGCTTCGCTTATTTTCGCTTGGTTGAACGGCAGCCAACCTCTTGCTCGGCTGTGACTCGTCTACAGCGATAGAGGAGAAAGGGAGTGGGAAGGAGCAGAGGGGCAGGGCCGGGGGAAGGAGGAATGGGTTGGGCCCGCTCGTGCGAAGAGGAAGAAAAGAAAGAAAAAGAGGGGGTCGGGCCTATCGGGGGGAAAAAGAGAGGGGGCCGGGTCGACCCGGCTTGGTTCGATTTTTTTTTTTTTTTTTTTTTTTTTGATTTTTTACAAAGAAAAATTTATTCTAATAAATCCTCTTAATCCAGATGTACCTAATGCCTATGCCATGCAAAAATAAAAAATATTTTTGTTTAGGGATTAAAAATTTAATTCCAAATTTTTGTGCAATAATTTTTTAATTGGGTAATTAAAATTTAGGTGTCAGCATGGCCAAGTCTCTCTTCTCAACTGCTTTTCTGATCCAAGTGTTCGAAGTGCCTCGTGCTCGCTCATTCTCGGCGCCGATCACTCGTGCTTGATGTTTTGCTTCAAACCACGACATCTTTCCAATCTAAGGTACTCAAGAGCAAGGCTATCCTTCAAACCACAACATCTTTACTTCAATATTGTTGAACAATGCTTGAATGAGAGAGAAAGAGAGAGCGAGAGAGAATGAGAGATTAAATTACTCTAGCATAGTGCCGTTTTTTTATTAAAGGCCATCTCATCGTCCACGTGGACTTTCTTTTACTATGTAAAAGCCAGTTAGACACAACATTTAATTAAAAATGTCACGTAATATTTTTGGTCGGAATATGTCGCTGGAGGTACTTAAGTGATCGTTGTTTTTCCGATCTAGTACTTAAGTGAGCCGATGAAAACTTTTGGCAATAATGTGAGCATCGTAGAAAACTTTTGACACTTCTAGTGTCTTTATGCAAACGACAAGGAGTTTGATTTGGATGTGGGGAATAATGCTCATCTAATTATACAAAAATTTTGAATTGCATTGGTTGCATTGAAGTGGAAATACGTCTAGAGATACATGTATACCTCTCCTACTAAGCACTTATGCATTAAGAACCTTCCAATTTATTAAAAAACTTACATACTTTTAGCGAGACAATTCATAATCTTTTTCTCGCTCAAACACCTTCCAAGAATTTACCCACAATTAATTCTCATTTACTCATGATTTGGACTACCAGCGATCAATAGTGCAAAGTAACTTACGTTCAAGTAAGTGTGATTTACATTTGAGTGATCCTGGTTATCAAAAAAAGAATTCGAATCGTCCTCATTTCTATTGGGAATACATCCTCATTCCGGTAATCCCGATTTTGGTCAAGGTTTCACCTATTGTCAAACGGCTATCTTAATCTTCTTCAGAGTCTCCAATGGGCTAATTGAAGACTTCTATATAAAGAGGATTAGCGAAACTAGGAAGAAATTGGATGAAAGAAATACTGAGAATACTGTAGTTGCGTTTCATTGTCTAAGATTAGATACCTTCCTCGTTCTTTATCTTATAAAGTTTTTGTACTGCATTATAATTGCAAATAGTCAAGTGTATAATTGCAAGAGCAATTGTTGTGTCCTGGTAGTGTGATTTATTTTTTGAGAGGAACAACACTCTTCAGTTGTAACTTGCATTGCTGATTAGTAGTGGTATCCAGCCTGTGTTAAGGCTGTTATCTAGAGAGTGGACTTAGGCTTGGGAATAAAGCCGAACTACTATAAATTGCTATGCTTTACTTCTTTAGTTCATCATCTACAATATCTATTCACTATCTTCACACACGCTATCTTCACACATGCTGACTTGTTTTTGCTTATGAAATATTCCATGAAAGTTTTCCATAATCCTTGATCAACCTATTCAATCCATCCTTCTATATTGATCAGTTAGCCCCAACAATTTCCATTACATAATGTTAGTAAGATTTTCATACATTATGTCATCATCAAACAACGTGGCTACGTGCAATTACTAATTTTAACCTTACCGAATGTACTAGGGTTTGAGTCTGAACCAAATTAACAAAAAAAGGTAAGCGATTACTTTCTCAGATTGTTAATGTTTTGGTCACCTTTAATAGACCATTTTAATTGATGAGGTGATTGAATACTTGTAAATAATACTGATGTATGTATGCACGATATGTATAAAATTCTTAGCAAAGAAGAGAACATGCCTTAGGTTGTCAAAGGTCATTATGAGACTTTAGAAAAAGAAGATACATGAGTGTAGCACTTCAAGATTTATGAATGTAAGTGTGCACGATGTGCACCAATATAAGGCAAAATGGGTGCAAGTTTGTTTGGATTCTGCTACATATGAATTAGTTCTATAGTTCATCATCTACATTTGACTTAGTTCTATTCCTTCATGAGATTGAGAGATTATTTCAAGAAGAATTATTAGGCCAAAAACTATGTGAGTTATTGGGTATAGTTAGGGGTTGGGCAACACCTCGAGTGGTTGGTTGACTCAAGTATAATTGTAATCTCCTATGTGTCACTTGATCTATAGTAGAATTCTTTACTACTCTCCCCATGGATATAGATCACACCAATCGAACCAAGTAAATGCGGTATACTATTAATTTTTTTGTTTTGTTTATGTAATTGTTCGATTACTTATTTCCGCAATAATTAGTATTAGAGCCATGCTATGCTAAGTTGAAGCGAATCGATGACGACAAAAGAAGGAAAAGTGAAAATCGACAGTTTTGATAAGAAATATTGTGATTTCTAGAAGATGCACATTGAGAATTGATTGTATCAAAGGAATTTGCACTTGCCCCCATTTAGGTAGAAACCAAAGTCTATGAAGCAAGCTAATCGGGAATTGCTCGATTGACAAGTGTTGGGTATTATTCAACTGACATTGCCTCGTAATGTCGCGTTTAACATCATGAAAGAAAAGACCATCGCGGGTTTGATAAAGGCCTCGTTAGACATA